ATGTGACATTCTGGGTTTCCCTCAAGGTGAATTACAAATTGAAGGTTGTGATGAGGTGCGTCGGCCTCCGTCTCTAGGGCTTGGTGCAGATGTTTGGCTCAGAGCATTCAGCATGCTGTCCTGCGTTAGAAGTTCGGTTGACCTAAGTCTGAAAAATCTAAGGCTGGGCAATGAACAGGTCAATCCCACCCAGGTGGTGTCCCCTTGGGATTTTGCTTATGGCCATGAGTTGGACTCAATGTTTCCATTCAGACGCTGAAGAAGTGATCAGAACAAGATCTAGGCTCAGACATGCTTGAGGTTGAAGGCTTGTTTGGCCTCTCCCTCTCTGGTCTCTCCTACACAGATTACTCAGGCAAGGCCTGTTAGCCTCTGCTCATCTATTCGCGCAGCGAGCTGAGAATATTCAGAGTCTTGTTTTGCCCTAACTATCTACACAAAAGCAACACACCAGGAAAAACTGTTTAAATGAAATATGGTTCCCAACCTCGTGCATCTCAAGCTGAGGGCCAGCAGGCTTCAGCGGGGATGTTCTCAGGCCCCAGGCTCTTCTGTACAAGGACGCTTTGATCCCTTAAACTAGGAAACTGCCTTCAAAGCCAACTGTCACCACCCACTTCCAAACAGTCCTTACAAAGAGTCCCTCTCCCCGCACCCTCAGCCCAACCGACATCCCAGAACAGCTTGTTAATAGTCCAAGGTCATCTCGTCTACCACAGGAACATCCTTTCCTGAGACCGCTGAGGGCGTTTGGAGACCGAGTCCACCATCCTTGTCATGACCCTCAAAGGAACAAACACAAGAAACACAGAGTCGATATTCAAATAGCTGGGGTTTTATTGGACCCAGTTAGATTTTCATTCGGTGAAAAAAGTCGACAAAGAGACAAAAAAATTACCTTCAAATTGTGCAACAATATAGTAAAATCTCCAGCAGGGACCAGTGGCTTGGAAACTTACCAAGGCAATTCAAACGATAAATACCGAATTTCACTTTGGAGAGAAACAAGTGTACAGTGATTCACTTGAAATAAGAGCAGAATAGGCCTCATTTTGCTGTAAATACTTGTGGCTTCGCTTGAAGTTTCTAATAATTCCTAACAAGAGTCTTTACATGAGAAGTAACATGGAATATCTGAAGAAAAATGACCCACTTCAGCATTCATGAAACTAATACCATTCTTGGGTTATTACTTGGCTCTATGATTTAATTCATAAGATGGCTGCAGAAACATACATCCCGCCAACCCTCCCTCTCAAGCCATGTTAGCCGCGGAACGCTCTCGAACATGTACTCCTCATCCGTGGACCCAACAGCCTGTATCTTCCTATCCTTTCTCATACCTCAGTTTTGCATAGAAAGTAGTCATATAAACGTAATGCACTGGCTTTTATTACACACAAAAAATATACCTGAAATGCAGCACACACTCCAGTTAAGGGGGCAGGGGAGGTAATAGGAATGTCAAGAGAGAATCCCAAAGGAAGCGAGAATTCTGCATAGACTTGAAGTCCATCCTAACGTCACTGTGGGGTGGCGTTCAGTTTGGTGAAATCCCTGGCTCTCTTCTCTGAGGGAGCGCCCTACCCCTCAACTCTCTGTGAAGGAGGAGAATCTTAGAGGACTTACTAAGACCCCTTTGAGAGTGGGAACAACTGAATTTGACAGGATGGAGTTAGGCCCTTAAGCGAGTTCTGGTGTTCTTGGAAGGGAGCCTTCCCTAAACTGGAGAGAACATGACTGTGTGTCCTCCTGGTGTCACAGCCAGGGTGAACCCAGGAAGCACCCTTCCTGTCCCCCCCTGGCACGGCACCGGCCCCAGCTGGCCAGGCTGCCTCGTCCGCCTGGGAACAGGCCTGCAGAGACCCGGCCTCTCCCGGAGTCCTCGGCAGGCCTGTCACTGCGTCCACTCGGCCCCGGCTGTCACGGAGCCCACGGGACACACACTACAGAAAAGGGCAAATCAGCTTCAGAGAAAACGCACATGCCACGCTGCCCGCCACGTGCCAGAGGCCTGCCCAGTCCACAGGAGCGCCAGCGCCTGCCATCCAGTGTCCTCCGGAAGAGAGAAAAACCTGTCCCCTATGCAGTGGGAACTTTCTAGAAGCCCTTTCTTTGCAGGTAACCGGGGGGGATTCAAGCGGTCACAGTGAAGAGTTATCCGGTCACCTTCAAAGGCTGCACCCATTCCTGTTCACACTTCCTATAGTGGCTTCAATCTCGGGAGGCCTGCAGACGGGCGGGTGCATCGACTCCCCACGGAGCTATGCAGAAGGAAAGCGGAGTGTGTGCTCCAAAAGTTCATAAAAATATACGATTTACACATCAATGCATCTATCTGGCTTAGTCTTCGGGACCTTAGCTCTTCTGTTTATACAAAATACTCTAGCACTAAAAGGCTGCTCGGTAGCAAACAGCACAGTGGCATCTTCCAAGAGAGGGTGCTGGCGGTCTGCGCAGCACTGCGCACTGAGCACTGGAGGCCATGGGCCTTAGCACTGGACGCTCAGCTATCCCTCAGGTTGCCAGCCTGAGACATTTGCTCATAACTAAAAAAAGGAAGTGGCGCTGTGGCTCAAGCGGTAGAGCGCTTGCCTTGAGCTGAAGAGCGCAGGGACAGCGCCCAGGCCCAGAGTTCAAGCCCCACGACCACCCCCCCCCAAAAAAAGCTTTGTTTATGGAATAGTTGAGAAGAATGCCCCAGAACTTTATACTTCCGTGTTTACAAATGCCCCTAGGAAGCTAGCAGGAAAAGAAAAGAAGAAAAATGGGCTTCCTAACAGTGTCCGCTAAAATGGCGGGCTTCCTCACCCTCTTCAGGAGTTGACTAAAGCAGAGGAGGGAGGGCTTGGAGTCTGGACGTAAACTCTCAAATCAGAGAAGATAAAGTCAAAGAAATGCTGGGGTGGGGAAGAACCAACAGCAGGGGAAGGGCAGCGGAGCTGGAGGGAGAGTCCTGGCTCCCGCACGCAGCGCGGTGTCGGGAGCCGCAGCCCCGCACACAACGTATAGAAACACGGATGGGCCAAAATATCCCTCTCTACAATAGTGAGACAGAAAATACAGATTTTAAAAAGACAGCAGCTTTCTGGGCACTGGTGGCTCACGCCTGTCATCCTAGCAACTAAGGAGGCTGAGATCTGAGAATTGTGGTTCGAAGCCAGCCCAGGCAGGAAAGTCCGGGAGACGCTTATCTCCAATGAACCACCAGAAAACCAGAAGTGGGGCTATGACTCAAGTGGTAGAGCACTTGCCTTGAGTACAAAGAGGTTCAGGGGCAGTACCCAGGCCCTCAGTTCCTCAGTTCAAGCCTCCCAACCAAGGGGGGGGGGGACAAAGCAAACAAACTTGAACTATTTAGTTGACTCTAACTTCGTTCTTACAATCTCTAGGGAGAATGAACATATTACCACCCAAGAATGATACTTTCAGGGAAAAGAAACCGACCGCTTTCGAGGATGCGGTGTGGTGCAGGGAAAGGGAGAGAGGCTTTACGAAGCTTGCATATCACAGACACGTGCAGAGGCAGTTCCCAGAACATTCCTGAGCCCCTGAGCTCACTGCTTCCCCGCCGGGAGGAAACTGGACAGTGAGGTTGTTCAGACAGACAGACAGACAGCACAAGTGACAGCCATGCTGGACGCAGCAGCGCCCGCACACTAGGTGGGGAGGAGGGGCGGCGGCCACACGGGGGCGCCTCACCCTCCACCGGGCACAACTGGAACGCAGGTGACAGAAAGAAAAAACACAACCCCACAACACGGAGAGAGAAAGGAACAAAAGAGAGACTCGGGCGTTGCTAGTCCCGTAACAGGACGGAGTGCAAATGTTCAGGTGAGTGTGGACAGCACTTCCTCTATAGATTGGGTTAGAGCAAGGAGGAAGAGGAAGTCAGAGGAAGGAGGAGGGAGGAGGGAGGAGTAGGAGGGAGGGAGGGAGGACAGAAGCATTGACAAAATTCACACGGACTGCTCGTCTCTTCAGTAGGATCTTCAAGGACAATTCAGTGGCCACCTCCACCCAAACATAAAACTTTACAATCGAGATCTCTTTGGTGGTAAATAAAAACAAAAAGAAAAAACCTCAACCGCACACTTGAAAACGGAGGGTGCCATGGAGACTTTGCCAGTGTTATGTCATGGCACACACCCGGAACTTCTCTCCCACAGGCAGAGTGAGTTTTCTTTTCACAATGACAATCACCCCAGTGGGTAAGAAAGCGGGGGGTCTCAATGGGCTGTGTCCAAAGACACCCCCTGTGGCTTGGGAGAGCCCGGGCCTTCCCCTGGCACCCCTGTTTAGCGGAAACCTAGCGCCGACTCAGCTCTTCCGTGCAAGGCCGTGAGGTGACATCGTGGGTCGCCAGGTTGCCACAGGATGAAATGGATTTCTGCCGAAGGGCGACAAAAATGCACCGTTCCCCAGCCCCCCACCTCTCTGGCCACGCAGTGTCAGGTGACTATGAGAGCCTGGCCTGGGTACACAGTCCCAATAAATTAACAGAACAACAGAGAAGAAGCCCTCCCGGGAAGACAGCCCTGTGCACAGCACAGAAACGAAGTCCAAACAGAACGGGGCAGTCCACGCACTCCTGCCGGGAGAGGGCCCTCGTGAAGCTTCTGATTCATTTCCGTGTCTTAGAAAAATAAAAAGAATGGCCAATTTATTTGGAACCAAAATGATCTCACAGCCTGAGAAGCTAAGCCCAGGAGGCTCAGCCCGGAGCGGAGGGCGGTGCGGGCAGGGCAGGGCAGGGCGGTGCGGGCAGGGCAGGGCAGGGCGGTGCGGGCAGGGCAGGGCAGGGCGGTGCGGGCAGGGCAGGGCAGGGCGGTGCGGGCAGGGCAGGGCAGGGCGGTGCGGGCAGGGCAGGGCCAGGGCAGATCCTCGGAGCTCACTGCACACACGCCACCCGTGCCTTGCCTTCCTTTTTTTTTTCTTTTGAAATGTGTTTGTTTTTGTTTTTGGCCCATATAAAAATAACATATTGCAACTCAAAGTGCATCTTTTAAAATAAACCATCGACTATCTTTATCAAATAAAATATTTACACCATTTGGTTTGGAGGGAGGAAAGCGGCTCAGGCAATCACCATGGGAACGTCGTCTGAAAAGCCTGTGATCATGGGGGCGTCTTCGTCATCCTCCCCTAAAGACAGAACGGCCAGCCTCAGTCAGCGCCAGCGCCCCCGTGCCCCCGACTCTCCCAGCCACCCACCCCACAGCCGGCCAGCACAGCCCAACCCCGCCCCTCAGCGCGGCTCCCCACTGCCACTCCGGCTCATAAACCCTCCCTGGTGCCCACACTTCTTTTCGGGGCCTTTTGAACTAAGCCAAATGGGCAGCTGGGGATCCCTAAGTCAAGTTTGCTGTGTCTGGCATGGACACACTGAACTCCAATGTCAACTTGGTAATTTGAATCCAAACTGCTCTGATCTACAGATTTTGAAGACAGCTTCCCGGGCTCATGGCTGTCCCGGGACCCTTGACGTGGGCCCACGTGACTGAGGGCTGAGCTGCACCGAGCCATGGCGGAAAGCAAAGGAAACACCCCGTTCATGCAAAGGCAGTCCAGGTTCTTGCTGACCAAGCAAGAAAGGAAACAAAGAAAAGGAGACAAGGCTCGTAGCACTGGAGCCATACGGAGGAGACTGAATGTCTTTAGCATCGAAGAAAAGTAACTGTCACTTGTCCACAGAAAGAGTGAACACAGAAACTGGCTTCCAGCAGTTGGTGTTTGGGGAAGTTGTTAACACACCCTTCTGTTAAGGGTGCCAACCGGCTCCCTTCCAGTTAGCATGAAGAGATTTCTACCCTGGGATAAAACATTTCCTTCCTGGTCCTATGTTAAGGTGTCATCCAGATGTTGGACCTCTAGGTGTTTATGGAATTCTCTTGAAAGAATTTCACGATCCTTTGGGAATCTCTAAGACCCAGGGCCTATCAGCCCCGCCCCCAGCCCAGTAGGAACTCCTACCACATCAACCTTGCATCCTGCCAGAGCTATCGGGCACAAGAGAGTGTGGTATTTTAACTTAGGAGCAAGCTAAGAGCTGAGCATTTCCGCTGGTCTGGCCCTGGCCTGGGGAAGACTGAGCCAAAATCAGCTTTTCTGGATCACGTCACTGGCTTTGTGGGTGCCCTCCCCCGGGACCGGCCACCTTCCCTGCCCACGCACCCCCATGCCCGCTTGCTTACCCAGGTCATCCCCGGAGGAGAAGATGGCAGAGCCCAGCCTGGAGCTGTAGTGGCTGTTGGCGAAGGCTGTGAAGCTGCTCTGCAGCCTGCGGTGCTTCGTGTAGAGGATGGCGAAGCCCACGCCCAGGCTCAGCAGGATCAGGAACAAGATGGGGACCACCACCGCCGCCACATCCGTCGGCCTGGCGTCCTGAACCGCTGCCATGGCTCCACCTGTGAGGCCAGACGCTGCCTGTGATTCCCCCGCCGGCACCTGCACAGGGTGCAGCTCTCCAGCCCACCTGCCCCAAAGCCAAGGGCTGGCCACAGCACCCCCGCTGCCTGCCTGCCTGGGGTGACTGGAATCCCGTGTGCGGGGCCCCGCGTGAAGCCTGCCTTGCCACGAGCAGACAGACCTCGGGCCTCGAGCATTTGCAAATACGGTAATTACATTAGACGCCTAATCACTGCCTTGTTGCTTATTTAGATAATCTCTTGGAAGGGAGATCTTTGTTGGGGTACCAACACTGATTTCATTAGCATTATTACTTAAGACCACTGGCTTGCCTTCCATAAGAGGAAGTGAAATCAGACCACTAATTAACAAGACTGGAATTATTTCCCCCTACTTGGCACCCGAGTCACTCTGAACTGCAATTACCTGAAGCTCCATTAAGTGACACACACCAGATTCCTTTACTACAATGGTGACTTAACAGCTCATGAAGTTTTATGAGGTTGTTGGGTTTTTTTAAAAATATAGTTAAGTTAAAAAGAGAGAGAAGCCACCTTTCCCTATTTATTTAGCGGTGGTTAAAGCTTTCCCCAAAGCCACCAATAGCGTCACAAAGACGCTGCCTTCCCGAAGCATGACACAAACACGCGCTGTGTGGCGATTTCCTGACAGACCTGCCGTGTCGCCCTGCTTGCCACTGGGGTGGAGCAGCGACCTTGAAAGGAGAGAGACTTTCCATGGTGAAATCCTGACACAAGGCTGAGGGTGCTGGCGTGCTCACCTAGTCTGTGCACCCACCCTACCCTACCTCGCCCCCTAAAAAAATCCCAGCGCAGGAGCTGAGCAAGGGGAGGGAGTAGACTTTCCTCGCTCAGCATCTCCATAAGCTCTGAGGTCATTCCCTGGTATAGGAGAGACGCCGGGGCAAGGTCTCCGCTGTATGCAGCAAGTGCCAGTGCTAGCCAGGGTCTATCCTGACAGGATGGGCAGGGCATGGCATTTCTTCCCCTTCCTCTTCCCTGTCCTTCCTTCCTTCCTTCCTTCCTTCCTTCTTCCTTCCTTCCTTTCTTCCTTCCTTCCTCCCCTCCTTCCTTCCTTCCTCCCCTCCTTCCTTCCTTCTCTTCCTTCTTTCCTTCCTTCCTGCCTTTCTTTCTTTTCTTTTTTCTTTCGCTACCTGAGCCATGTCCCAAGTCCTTCTATTTGTGCTTTGGTATGTGCTCAGATAGGATCTTGCAGTTTTGCCCCGTGCCAGCATGAGACATCATCTTCCTCCCTTTGCCTCCCGAGAGACCGGAATTACAGGCGTGCACCACTACACCCAGCCCCTCAGCCGTTTCTTGTGAGCCTAAAGTAGTAATTCAATATTCATGCCTGTATTTAAATATTTTTTCATTATTTTCTGACCAGAAAAATAGCTCTAGCAAAACAAGCAAGCAACCAAACTGTAATTCAATGTGCCCCAGGCCAGTCCACCCCGTGGTGTGTGGTGCAAAGCTAAAGCAAGGCCTGGGCTTGGCTGGAACATGGCGGGATGCCAGGAACAGGTGCGCTCTGAGAACCCTGGTTTCACAAAGGTGCTGGGCTTCACAACAGCTTTTTCCCACCGTGTATTCCTCTGGGTAGGTACTAGCTGGTTTTGCTTAAAAAACAACAGAGCACCATTAGAGAAACAGTGAGTTATTAAGGGGTCCGTTGGTTGTTTTAATAGGATCTTTGGAAAGCTTCTAACATGCTAGGACTCTCCTAAGGGAGACAGAAGGGGCTCTTCCCTCCTCTAGCAGGAGAAGCATGTGGTACCCCTTGCCCCCCAGGCACGGAGTGAGGGAACACTTCACACTAGCACATGATGATTCAGGCTTAATCTGGGCCAGGTCCTGGCTGGTAGGGATTGCCACAAGAAAGACCAGTGGAGAAATGCTTTCTAGAAATTGTGTGTGAGCAGACTTCCTATGCAAATTACCAGTGTGGCTCAAGACTGCAGCCTAATTCATATCGTTACTGGACACTGAGCCGAGAGATGGCCAGGATGGCTGATGACTGAGCTATGCGGCCTGGCGCTGGTGGCTCACGCCTGTCATCCTAGCTACTCAGGAGGCTGAGATCTGGGGATTGTGGTTCAAAGCCAGCCCAGACAGGAAAGTCCTTGAGGCTCTTATCTCCAATGAACCTCCAAAAAAAAACCAGAAGTAATGCGGTGGTTCAAAGTGGTAGAGCACTAGACTTGAGCAGAAAAGCTCAGCAACAGCTCCCAGGCCCTGAGTTCAAGCCCCACAACTGACAACAAAAATGAAATAAGAAGATAAGCTACCAAATTGAAGCAGGGGGGTGGGTACACTGGCATGCTAAAGGCCCTGAGAAGTCCTGTAAAAACAACCCAAACTTCGTTAACCTACTCTTTGCCAAACAGAATCTCCTTTTTAAACAAAAATCCCCCCTTTCTTATACTTACATTCAAAATATGGTCTCGTAAACCCAGCTCCTGACCGAGGATATGTCTGTTAATTAATTCAGTACCTGATCAAATTGACTCGTAAGTGGTTTTCCTTGTGAGCTGCGGGACTGTCTGGAATGTTTTCGGAAGACACGCTCCTCAGCCCGTACCCCGCGCGCGGCCCTGCGGCTACTCACCGGACCCCAACTCATCGTACAGCAGCACGGCAGGCTCCCCGCAGAGCTGGCTGCCCACCAGGCACCGCGCTTGGACTGTGAATGTGTAATTGTGACCCATCTTCAGGTTGGAAATTTTAAAGAAATTGTCAGTAGTATTCCCCAGGTAAGCTGTGAGATTCACGGCGCTGTCGAACATGTGTATCTCATAACCCTGGAAACACACACGAGAACACTCAGGGAGCTGACAGCCAGCGGGACTGCCGTGGCTGGCTCTGACGCCACGCCAGCTCACGGCAGCGTCACAGATGTCCTAGGACCCCGGGTTTCTCGCTAATTCTTTTGATGTGACCCTTGGCACACTGGACTTGGGAAACAGGATTGCTCCCCTCACCGCCTCAAAATGCCCCCACACCGCCTCTGAGCTGCTGAACGCCGGGTCGGGAGAGCAAGGCCCTAAGGGCGATGGCCACCGGCGTCCAAAGATCCAGGTAGCGATCACTTGTCTCAAGCAAACTCAGAACCTCTCGGTAATACGAGCTGCTAGTCAGGGCTTTGGCACATCATAATCCTGGTCACGGTGTAGGCAAAGAGGCCCAGGATTCTCAACAGCCACAGTGAGGCCAGAAAATCCTTATCACTGTGAGGATTCCCTCAAGTTTTAAAAACCGACGGAGACCAAATGGTGAAAAAGGTAAAAGGGTCGCAGCGGAGTCACTGAGTCTCAACTTCATCCCCTGGCTGTCCCCAAGGCCATCCCAGCTCTACCCAACAGACGCTTGTCAGCCAGGCGCTGGTGGCTCACACCTTTAATCCCAGCTACTCAGGAGGCTGAGATCTGAGCACTGTGGTTTGAAGCCAGCCTGGGCAGAAGAGTTTCGTGAGATTATAATCTCTAATTAATCACTCAAAAACTGGAAATGGCGCTGTGGCTCAAAGTGGTAGAGAGCTAGCTATAAGCAAAAGAGCTCTGGGACAGCCCCGTGACCAACAAAAAAACAACAGATGCTTGCCCTTGGAAAGTCTCCAAGGTCAAACTCTCCTTCTCTGCCTCCCAGTGTAGCTACAGTATCCGCCTGCGGATAGCAGGTCAAAACAGGACAAAACAAAGGTGCTTCTCTTAAGTCACTGCGCATCTTCACATACTTCCCGCTCGCTCTAATTCTCTGGGGAGGAGGTGATGAGACCCCCTGCTTGAACCTGGCCAAGGCCAGCCCCTGTGGGGCATGGCCAAGGTGGGGCTCTTGGTTCTTGTGGGAGAGCTCCATCTAGTTCCCTGCCAATGCCAGGGAACACAAGGCTCCCATCCATCCCTCTTCCTCCCCAGACAGACAAGTGCAGGACTGAAAAATGCTTACTGCAGAGATTCTCATCTTTAATGGGCAGTACGCACATTTCACTAATTAGCAATCCCACCCAAAATGGCCCTTTAATTCTCAAGTTTGCCTTGCCTGACTGTCCCCCTCTTCCCCCCTCCCCCTGCCCTGCCATTCCTGGCCCTATCATTTCTCTCTTACCCACTGGTGTCTGCATGCTGTTAACGAGCTCACCTCCAAAGGAGATTTCAAAGCCATTGCCAAGGAGGGAGGGACTTACCCTGCTTTCATTAAACTGCTTTTCCTTTAAAGCTAGACTTTTCCAAAACAGAAGAACGTGGTCATTTTCTGTTATGATTTTTAAGGCATCAGGTGCTGACAACAAAGCTGGAATGAAAGATGTGAAACGCTGCAGTCAGCAGACAGATACAGGGAGCCCAGCGTTGGGGTCTGTCAGAGAGGGAGGGGAGGAGGATATTCTAGCCTTGGAGAGTTGGCTTTGGGACGAGTGAAGCCTAAGAGTGTGGTGCACGGTCGGCGCCCTTTAACCGGCATCGCGGCCGTGCGATCACCGCACTGTCAGCCAAGGACTTTAGACGCTATCTGAAGTTACAGCTCCCAGCTGCAAGGATGGCGGGGAGGGGCAGGAGATGGAAGGGACGGGACTGAGCAAGTTGCTCTGTCGGGACAAACAGCACAAGGGCAAGGAAGCGTGGCCCAGGCTGCTATCTCTATGGCCAATCTCAGCACAGCTGGGTCTCCGTGACTGAATCCACAACACGTGGGCTGCGGCTCGCCGAGGAATGAGCTCATCGCCCCCACTCTGACTTGCATGCTGTCTGCTGTTCCCTCACACTCTATTACTGGTCTCCCTCCCTCGCCGTCTACAATGACGCCTGGTGAGCCAGGTCTCCACACACGGTGAACGGTGAACGCATGCGTGGCCTCTGGTAAACACCTCCACATCCCACCTCTCTCAGGCATTCCTTCCTCCCTCTCCTAGCAGTGTCACAGTGAGCTAAGGGAGAAGATGGCTAGAGAGACTCAGGGAGGCTGGGGTTACAATCTAGAACTTTTCCAGTCATGCACGAGGCCCTGGGCTCAAGACCCAGGTACTTACGATAATAATATGCCTACTGTTCCCTGACCTCTCCCACTTCCACCCCACACAGGAATCCCGGGCGCTCTGGCAGAGGGCGGTGCGCACACGTGCCGTCCACGGGCTGTGGCGTGACCCGAGGGCCCGCCCCGGGAGGGGCTGTGTGGGAGGGCAGGCGTCTCCTCCCCCCGCCGCTCACCCGTGGTGACTTTGATGCTGGCGTCCTTGCTCATGTTCCCCAGCTGGACCACGACATGGTACCTCCCCCCCGGCTCCAGCTTGCTGAGGGTATACTCCACCGTGCTGTTGTGGGATCTGACCTTGTAGCTCCTGTCCGTCTTCCTTATGAGATCCTTCACTGCAATGGCATAGAACTAGAACCCAAAGCAAAGCAACAGGAGAATGTAAGTGGTGATCTTCTTGACTCCTCCTGGCTGGGTGTCAAACCCTGTGCACTGCAGGGGTTGGCTCTCACACTCTTCACAGGTGCAGAATCCCTGATATAAAACGGCATTGCATTTGCATGTACCCACCATCCAGCACTCCGTAGACTTGAAGTTGGCTTCGTTGCTTATAATACATGTAAGTTCTACGGAACACCTGACATGGCGTATACAGTTTAGGGAATAAAAATGACAAGTGTTCAGAAGAGGTGCCATTCCTTTTTCCAATGTTTTCTGCCTGCAGTAGACTGAACTCACAGAGACAGAACCCGCAGGGGCAGGACCGAAGAACAGCGGTGGCTGTGACTGTCAGACCCGACTTTTGGCTAGTCAGAGGGGAAAGAGCGATGTGCTGAGTTCAATCACTAGGCCTGTGTTTCGTGTCCCCAGGAGCCTCTCTTCCCACACCCATGCGCCACCCAGAACAGCCAGGCTAAGCAAGCGGCTCGCACGCCTGCCCGCTCACCAGGTCCTGGTCGGGGGAGTCGTACGGCGATTCCCACTTGATGATGGCCGAGGTTTTGCCTGTGTGGATCAGGTGCAGGTGGCGGGGTGGGAGCCTGCTGTCTGGAATCATCTTCACCACGACGTAGTCAGAGGACGGCCCTTGGTACGGCACCAGCACTCGGACCTACGGCCCAAGCACACACTCAGGAAAGAGGACACCACGGGGCTCGTGCGCTCCTCATCGGATGCTTGTGTTCAACCAAGAGATGGCAGACATCCACCATTAAAGTTCCACGAATGCAAACTATGTGAACAACAAAGCTCAGAGAATTTGCCACGGGCAATAGCTTTTTGTGCTTCCTTCTATGAATGTCCTCAGCATAGAGAAGCAAGATATCTGTGGGCAAATAAGTGTGCACGTGGCACACGTGTGAATGTGCACTGACTTTCATGCGTGGCGCATGACTGAAAACACGGGTGCACAGGGCCTTTCAGGCCTGACAACAGCACAGCTCAGAGATTTTCTTGCCCCCTCCGCACACGCGGTGTTGTTTCTTCCTGTCTCCCTTCCCGTGGAGGAGCCAGGGTACCGTGAGCAGTCCATTCTTCATGGACATTTAAGCTGCTTCAAATCTTTTGCTATCCTGACAGACCACACATCTTTTTTCCCGTCTACCTTGGCACGTATGCAAAAATATATAAATTAGATTCCTCAAGGTAAAGTCTGAAGAAGGGCAATTCATGCATCGGTCTCTGTGGCCCACTGGTCCAAGCCATGGTTCTTCTAACCTGGAGCTACAGCCGGGCACTGCGGGCATCTGGAGGAGAAGCTTCCTCCTGCCACACACTCCCATTCTGGAATCCCAGTGTCCAGATCCCCAGGCCCTGGGTGAGCTCAGGAGCCCAGGATTGACGGCATCCCTGAAAACACCAAGCTCCTCCCTCCTCTCTGGAATAGGGAACTTACCAGAAACAAATACTGCTCATCCCTACCAACAATGACCGTCTTGTTGTGCAGCGAAGTAGTCAAGCCCTTTGGGTTTCGATAGAGGTCAAGAAAAGATGTAGCATAGAAAATGCCATAAACCTAGGAAAAGCAGAGGATGGACAGACGTCAGCTCATGGCCGGCGACCTCACTGCTCACAATCCCTAGGATGCGTGTGCACGTGCATGCATGCGTGTTTGTGTGTGTGCGTGCATGTATGCGTGCACGTGCACACCAGCCAATACTGAGGCTTAAACTCAGGGTATTAAACTTAAACTTGGCTTTTTAAAAAATTCCTAGCTGGCACTCTAGCACATGAGCCATACCACCAGTTTGACATTTTCATGGATTAACTGGAGTTAAGAGTCTTCTGGACTTTTCTGCCCAGGCTGGCTTTGAACCACAATCCTCAGATCCGAGTCCCTGGAGTAGCTAGAATTGCAGGCGTGAGCCACAGGTGTCCTGCAGAAATCCCTGCTGTTTTAACAGCTTGGGAGCAGTGTGACAGAGCTTGAGTGCTGATCAACACATCGCACCGACCGCAGCTGCGGGGAACAGCAGGCGTGCCACAGGCACCTGCCGAGGACATGCCACACCCACGGTCCTCCGCGAGCTCGTTCTTGGAGAGAGGTGAACAGGGAAGAAGAAGCCTGGGTACCAGTCACGAGTGCACGTGGGGTGCGGGACACACTAGAAGACAGAGGGGTGGAAAGCCAGTGCCGAGGGGAGCGGGAACAGTGAACTGGGGAGCCGCACAGCAGGACGTGGGGTGGTGGCCAGAGTGATCAGCTGAGAAGCAGGTGGACCTGAGCCTGGCAGGCGGGGCCTGTGACTCCGGGAGGTAGTGGAGATAAAGAGGAGCAGAGGAGGGGGAGCAGGAGGCAGGCTGCCCGGCTCCTGCTTGCTGCTGGAGGTGAAAGCGCATGCGCCCGGTGTGCGCGTGGAGGACACGAGGCCCCTCCTCTGAGCTCGAGTAACGAGACTGAAGGCAAGCCAGGCCAGGTGTTCCGTACGTGATGCTCTCCTGGAGGAAGGAGAGCCCAGCACGCCATGCCTGACGACCCCTGAGGGCCCCTGAGGGTCTCCTTGGAGGTCACTGGGAGCCCGGGGAGGGCTCAGGGCTGGCCAGGGCTGGCCCTGACTCAGAAGTGGCTGAGGAAGGTCGAATGGCAGAGGAGCCGGGCGCCAGTGGCTCATGACTGTAATCCTGGCTCCTCACCAGGCTGAGATCAGAGGATCTGGGTTCAAAGCCATTCTGGGCAGAAAAGTCAGTGAGACAACATCTTCAAAATGACCAGCAAAATGCCATGCTGGAGGTGTGCCTCCAAGGGTAGGACACCAGCCGAACAAGCAAGCCGAGTCAGAACCTGAGGCCCAGTAAAAACTCCTCACCAGCCCCAGCCCCTTCCTTCCCCCTGCCCCCTGCCCCGCAGAGTCCAGGGGCCGGGAGGCCTTGTCATCCTCTCCCCGCATGAAACCCGGTCAACCACCACAGCACGGGCAAGAAGCCGCAAATGCTGGCATGGCTGGGGCAGGTAAGGCAGAGCTGGCTGGGCTGAGGGGAGAAAGGAGGGAGGCAGCAGCCGCTACCCAGAAGGCTGTGTGGAAGCTGAGCGCGAGGGGAGAGACCACAGTCGCCCTGTGCCGGTCACTCTGCCCCACTTACCACATTCCTGGGGCCAGTCCAGACACACTCCACCGCAGTCTGATTGATGGCCTTGGCTTTGAGGCTGGGCGCAGGTGGGCGAACCCCTCTGGTTGTGACATGTTCAAATGCCAGGGGGCTGTCGCCCACGTCAGTCTTGGCCCAGGCAGAAATCTCATAGGATGTATGAGCCGTCAGATTGCCAACTGCAAGGACAGGGAGAGGGTGGGAGGAAGCTGGGGTCTGAGTTGAGACACCAGTCACACACACGCCCTGTTCCGACAGCAATGTCTCGGGTTAAATAAATGCCACACGCCGTAGAAGTTGTTAATGGACAGGCCCAGTGAACATTCACATTCGGATGACGTGTGCATACCATATACCTCATGGGGGCTTGTAATTTCTCCTAAAGTTGGCCATCTGGGCATAAAATTGGTATAACACTTCTGATATTTGGTCTTCAATTACAAGATCCTGAAATTCACACCGTTGAATCTGACTGTCCCATGCAGTCTGAGAGGGACTCAAATATCTGTGCAAAGGTATCTATCACAGTGCCTGTTATAGTAGAAAAAAGCTGTGCAAAGGCCAGGCACAGTGCTACATGTCTGTAATCCTACCCACTCAAGGAGCAGCAGACGAGAAGGATCAAACTGGAGATCTAGTTCTCAACAGAATAAGCCAAGGCAATTCACAACCTGACATGGTGAAGCGGAACCCATTTGTACAACTATTTAAAGTTAATAGACTCAGATGCGCCACCACAGATGAATGGATCCAAAAATTGTGGTATCTATACACAATGGAATATTATGCAGCCATTAGAAATGACAAAATAATGGCATTTGCGGGAATGGATGGAGCTAGAAGGAATCATGTTGAGCGAGGTAAGCTAAGAACGAAGAGACAAACGATACATGGTCTCCCTGATAAGTGGATGCTAAATCCAAAATGTTAGGTGATACAACAAAATTAACAGGACTTAAGAAACAAAGAACTCCCACTCATCTGGTTGAACCACTACTAAATATCCCCATGCTGCTGATCACATGTATGGTGTATAATATGTGAACACCATTATATGTTATAGACTGTGATAGACAATTTGCTCCAGGAAAGTTAGAATGAACTTGTGACTTTAAATGAGCATCATTATTCCACAATACTGTGAAATTTGGGAAATTATGTAATCACTTAATCACAATAAAAAAAAAAGAACCTCAGAGAAGGTAGGGAGGGAAGGGACGGTAGGGGAAAAACAATGGAGGGGGTAACAATGCTCAATAGGAAGTGTACTCATTACCTTGCTCATGTAACCGTAACCCTCTGTATAGTATCTTTACAATAAAAATAAAAATTAAAAAAAAGAATAGAGATGAGCTGCAGAAGCAAAGAAAAAAAATAAAGTTAATAGAAAAAAAAAGGAGCAGGCACAATGGTCAAGCCTGCAATCTCAGCTCTGTGGGAGGTACAGGTAGGAGGCCATCCAGGAGAAAAGATCTATCTGAAAGATAACTAACGCAAAAAACCAGCTGAGGGCAAGGCTTGGGTCGTATGGAACCTGCCTAGCAAGGTTGAGGCTCTGAGTTTGAACCCCAGCGCCACTAAGAAGAAAAAGAAGAGACAAAGGAAAAACAGACAACAACTGGGCATAGCCCCACCGGTGGCAAGACAGTAGTTAATGACGGACACTGCGTGGACGACTATGCAGACACTTACACTTGTTCCTCAAAATGGTAAAATCAGAAACCGTTATGCTAACTGCAAAAGAGAAGGGGATAGCACTACATGTAGTGATACCTTGATTTTATAAAACTAAACCAAAGCAGACCTGCAGATCACTGCAGAGAATATGTGTGCTATATCTAAAAGGCAAAGGGAGATGGTAAAATCTTTACATTTTCTTCCCCTAGATTATCCAAAGTGAACAGGTGCTTTCCTTCTCCTGAGGGGACGGACCCAGCAGAGAGGATGCTGGGTGGGTCAGAAGGGCCGGGGCAGGGTGCCAGGTCTCACTACCTTCGTGGCTTCCCTGACTCTGTTTCCTTGTGGGTGAGCTGGGGAGTAGAGAGCAGGGTTGGCGCCTCACCTCTGGCAGAGGACCAGGAACCGCGCAGACGCCGAAAGCTCATCTTTCCCTCGTGCGATCTCTATGGGCAAAGTTGACCCAGCAGACCTTGTGCTTTAAAACCCAGGTAAAATAACAGGACCCTCGCGGCTATTTTGTTAAGACCAGAACAAGGGGCGCAAGTATTGCAAACAGAGACAGGGGAAGAGAATAGGAGCAAGCCCCCCCATGTTCGCAAATGTTTGCGGGCAGCTTTGCGTCTTGGACACTTTGTGTTAGAGATAGATTGAAAGCTGCCTGCTGAAACCCATTTTCGGCGAAGAACTTTTGTGGAGGCTTGCTCTTCGCACAGATGGGAGACTGGACCGCTTCCTGCCCTGGCTGCACTATTCACTCGATTAGCAAATACTTTACTACCGCAATGCCAGGCCAGGCCTGGTGCTACCTCTGACTAGCTGAGAGGAAGCAAAGTTAGACTAGACAGGAGACAGGTAACCAAATCTGGGAACTCTTTAGGGAGTGTAAAAATTAACTTTAGCCAGGTGCCAGTGGCTCATGCCTGTAATTCTAGCTGAGATCTGAGGATCTAGGTTTGAAGCCAGCCTAGACAGACAAATCTGAGAGACTGTTCAATTAACCAGCAAAATTAACCAATTAACCAGCAAAAAAACAGAAGTGGAGGCACGGGTCAAAATGATGGAACTCCAGCCTTCAGCAAACAAGTGAGGGAGCAAGGCCTGGAGTTCAAATCCCAGTACTGGTGTATGTACACGTGTGCATGCGTGTGTGTACACATGTGCTCACACACACACTCAGAGGCTGACCCAGCCTCTTGTGGCCTTCCTCCTCTCTGCCCTCCGACGTTCACCAAGAACCGTTGGATTGGAATGGAGTTTCAGGAACCAGTGAGAGATCCTTCCTACCTGTAGGCAGGGCACACGTGTGGCACCCTCGGTGGATGAGAACCTGCGTGCCAACTCCCTTCTGGAGCATCCCTCTTTGCCACTCTCCTCCCAGCCCGAGCACTGCTATCAGGACAGGACGGACCGCCCTCAGCCCGCCAGTCCCCGCACGGACCAGCTCCTAGGCCTTACCTTTGTGTGACGTCGAGCTCCCTGGGAAGTTCAAGGTTTTCTTCTCTTGTTTGTGGGTGTCAAACGCCCAGAAGAGATTCACCACGTAGCCAGTCACCTGCCAAGGACCAAGAAACACATGACGCCAACAGCTAACCCCACCCTTAAAGGACTCAGCGGCGCGGTGACAAGCCCAGAGCGTGCCTCTCGTCTGTTTGTTAGGTGCCTCATTTCTCTTTGCGCTTTTGTAGTTCTATTTGTGCTACTCTTAAATAATACCTAGTGATAAAACCCAATGTGAGATCATTGGTCATATAAAACACCCTCAATGGAAAACAAATGCAGCATCAGAGGACAGAAGCTGGTTAACCAAGGTCGAATGTGGAATTGCCAAAGACACTTTGGGCTGCAGCAACGAAATCTCAGCCCGGCTCGTCCTGCAGGCAAGGCACCAGGGCCATGCAAGATCTGGCTGGAGAGGACTTCCAACAGCCAAACCCGCCCAGTTCCCAGCTCAGAGGTTTTGATCTTTACTAGGGAACAGCAAAATAAACATGAAGTCGTTCAAGGCCGCAGACTATGACAGACATGAACCACACAAAGGCCATTTCTTGTCTCCTTCCATTCTGAACGAAGAACCTACTACGTTAGAGTTAAGTAAAAGGCACAGGAACTCCGAGGACATTTGTCTCACTATGGCCGACAGACGGGGACGCAGGCAAGGAGGAACACATACACAGGAGAGCGCGTCTCAACTGGAGACCACAGGGACACAGGGACAGAGGCAGGGTGGGCTGTGCGGAGGCGGTGGGGGCTCAGGTCGGGGGCTGGCCTCGCCTGGCGGATGGACACGGCCATGCCGTGGGTACCCAGCTCTCACAAGAAGGTGGCCCTTCCACTGTGGGAAGCCCTGCATTAGCATTAGCAGCAGGGAATCCAATAAAGCTGAAAATTACAGGGCACGCATATTCTGTTAACACCAACTCTTTATTTGCACTGTAGCTGTGAACCATTTAATTACATGGTTACAGGGTGTGTGTGTGTGTTGGGGTGGGGGACCAGGCACCAGGCTGAGGCAGAATAATTAGCTGTGGAGACGCACTTGTTCGTCCTGGGGGATGAGCCAACATCAGAGCTTCTGTAGACAAAGGCATGGGCTTATCCTAATCTTCTGCACTGGGGTGAATCAGCCCCTGCTTACATACATACATGCACACACACCACACACACACACCACACACACACACCACACACACACACCACACACACACCACACACACACACACACCACACATACCACACACACACACACATACCACACACACACACATACCACACACACACACATACCACACACACACCTGTCTGTGATTACTGTGTCCACATTACCTTGGTGTCACCGCCCATGGTCAAGGTGAAGCTTAGAGAATTCTCGCTGTAGCTGTTGATGTGGATGTCTGGCGGCGGGATCACTGGAGACAAGAAAGGAATTGAGAGGGAGAGAACGAAAACACATGGCGAAAAGCGAGGAAGACAGGCCTTCCTCGTTTTCAATGGGACAAAGCGATCTTTCACTGGAGGAAGGAAGGCCGTGTCTCTGACCATGGCTAGCCATCTCTCTCTCCCACCACCCATCACGGGGGTCCCTGAAGCCCAGACTGGGCCCGTCAGCACTCGGTGAGCCCACAGCAACCTCAGCTTCAGCTCAGCCTGGCTCTGAAAGGGGCAGGGACCACCCTGGCTGTCATCTTCATGAACTCTCACAACGCCCCGCGGTCTCAAGTCTCTCTATGAGGACGGCAATTCCCTGGGGTCCCCCCGGGCTGTAATCATGGTAAGTTATAAATCAATAGGTGGCAGAATGGGAAGAACATGGTCTCGGAGGCCTGGCTACCCTGAGGTTCCAACTCCTGTTTCCCGCCACTTCCCAACGGTGCAAACCAGAACGAGGAGCGAGCTACTTGTCTTCACTGAGCCTAGAGAGAAATAGTTCTATGCGTCAGCCAGCTGGAAAGGCAAAGGGTGCGTGGCCAGTGCCTAACGAGCACCTCCTGTTCTCTTCTCTCCCCCTTGCCGATGAAGTTCCACTTGTGGCGAATTCAACAGTCAACCAGGATGAGGGCTCAAGCAGACGGCTTGGGGGCTGGGAGGGTCTGGCCAGGGGGAAGGCCCCTCTGTGCACCCAGCAAGCTCCACACTTGCCATCTTGAAGGTGTGCCCGCAGGAGGGCGGACAGCGCCGAGCCTGGCATATGCCACAAGAAGGGTGCACAGGAGGAGACACGTACTACCCCAACACGGACCCGAGTCCCAGACTCTTCACACACAAGGCCTTTCAGGAAACACAGATGTGCACAACACAATCAGAAGACCCAGGGACCCGTGAGATTCAGCGAAATCTAGGGGCATCTCTCCAGTAGGCAAGCGTGCCGTACAATGACACTCTAGAACAGCCAGCAGAAAGGCCATGAGAAGCTCCAAGCAGCCAACTCGGAGCCAAAGAGCATTGGTGTTAGTGTTAAACCAACTTGCTGAGAATCATAGCGACTGGGTTAAGTCGCAAGTCCCTCCACGCCTGCTTCCTCAGCTACAAAACCAGGGTACAAATACACATCGGATTCACTTTTAACAAGAAGCACCAAGTTTAGGATACAAGAAGGGGGTCAACAGATGATGATGGCTTTTCTCCTTGCTGCCACTATGAACCTGGGGAGCCGGTGCCTCTGCCTGCTGCCTCTGTCCCTCAACTTTTCCCATCAGTATTCAGTCCCAGCTCACAGATAGCTCGTGGCCATATCTTGTTACATGGCTGCCTTCTGTTATACCCAACGAAACACATGTGAGGAAGCGAAACCTCAGAGAAGGTATGGAAAGCAGCAAACCACTGTGGCTTCTGTATGTACCCGAGACTGGTGCCCACAAAACCCAAGGGCACTTGAGCACTGACGCAACCTTAAATCTCTCTATTCTGATAATACATTGTGGGTGGATGGTAAAGGAAAATGAGCATTTAGATAAGCAGGAATGGATATACCTAAGTGAAATCAGGAAAAAAGCAACAGCATGCACTGAACAATTATGACATGATCACGTCAGAGCTGAGCATGGAGCCAATGGCAGACATGCCACGGCTCACAGTCCACGAGGGGCTGAGTTCTGACGACGCAGGCCCAGGAGCACCGCAGCTTCCTGGCCCTGCCTTATGTCTGTGCAAAGAAACAGAACAATTCTGGTTATGCACAATAGACCCACAGCCCTGACTGTTGAGGCATTTGTTTTCAAAGCAGGCTTTGTTTTGCAGCTCCATCTGCAGTTCTATGTGAAGAAGGATAAGTCGGTTTTTACTTAGTTTTATTAATAACGTGAACTTGTATGTCAGCTTTTACTTCCTTTTATTAATAAAACGTTAACTTGGATGTCTTGAATGGAAGGTTTTTGTGATTTAGCTGGCTATCTTGGTCACAGGTAAGTAATTTATAAAGATTGAAAAGCTTACGTTTTGTTTTTCTTTTCTTTCTGGTGTGTTTTGTTTGTTTTTGTTGAGACGGAGACTGGGACTTGCTGGGTGAGGTCCTGCTGACTGAGCGCCAGCCCCTGGACATTCTGTAACTATGTGCAAACTCATCTACGTAAGTTAAGGGCGGGATGGGAGGTGCCGGTGGGGGGCACAAAGGAAGGGTGAAGATCAAGAAGCCCTGGGCTCCCAGCCTGACTCACGAACCTGAAACCTCTCTGTACAACAACTTGATAACAATTTGAAAAAAGACAAAAAAAAAAACCCTTGCATCCTAAGAAAAGGGAAAAAAAAGCCAAGGAACACTGCAAGTCTCTCCTTGAGGATATGGGCGGTGTGTTTTGACGTAGAGCATGTATACACAAGAACAGTTAAGACCCTAAAAACACCAGAGTTTTAGTCTTCTCAACTCCAAACGCCAAGAGAACCCCAGTGTGTGCCAGGACCCTTGCTCTAGCTGCTTCAATTCTCTCTCTCTCTCTCGCCAACTGTTTCTGTAGTCTCCACCAGACACCAGGATTAGAGGGAGCAAAACAGGCCAGGCCAGCCCTGGGCCCGAGACGCAGGCAGCACCTGGGAACAGCCATCGACCTGGCAGGCAGGGAGGCCGGAGGGAGGCGGTTGCAGGGTGGTGAGGAGCACAGGCCCTGGAGTCACGCAGGTTGGGTTCCCGTGTCAGCTCTGCCCCTCGCTGACTGTGTGGCTAGGGGCGAGTGACGCATCCTTGGGTGAATTCCCCGGGGGTTTGTGTAGGTGAGCCGGTGCCAGGGGCAGCGAGCACTGCAGCCACCGCAGATAACAGGCTGGTAACACTGGGGGAATTCCCCCGAGTTTTCCGTGCAATACCCACCCATGAGCCTGCGCAAGCCGCCTCCATCTGTATCTGTTTTATATGGCACCATGGCTTTGGAAACCCCTTGGATTCTAGAAGGAGGAATCCACCCAGAGTTCACCCTAAAGGACTTCCCATCTAAGGCTCCGTGGGCTGCCCAGGCGCGTGCCTGCACTGGGAAGAAGGTGCAGCGTTTTCTAATCTGTGCTTCTCCTTTCCGGTCTGATCCACGGTCATTTCCCAAGGGTTTCTATCTCCTCTAAATCTACAGACGTTGGAATCATTTACCTTTTCCTTTTATGGTGGTAATGGATTTAGAATCGCTCCAGTTTCCTATTCCACGACTAGTCACTGCAGACACCTTTTCAAACCAGAGTGTGAATTAGTATGAGATAAAGGCAATACACCATACAGCAAGAATTCCCCGCTCAAGGGGGAAAGGGATGCAAGAGGGCATGGAGGGTGGAAAGAAAGAATGACAGCTATACAGAGCGCCCCAGGGTGCTTAGAGGCCCCAGCAACTGAAGTGAGAGGGGGAAGGGCAAAGCAGAGGAGCTTGGGAAACAGGGATTCTGTCCTAAGATTCTAGCACATCTACTGGTTGACAGACCGTGCGGTTCTTCGGAAGGGGAGAGGCATAGATGTGTCCAGACATGTGATCTGGAAAGAGGGAGAGGAGCAAAGGAAAGCAGGGGAGGGAGGGGGAAGGGAGAGTGCAAAGGGTATGGGGGAAATGATCAGAGCAGGGGGTCTCCGGAGCCTACGTTCACAACAAACACTTTTGCACAAAATCTATCTCCTTTCTGCTAAAGATAGGAATTCTACATGTCCTAAGAACCTCACAACATCCGTTTATAAATGATACATATCACAGATCTGCGTGGTCTTGCAGCTAGAGATAAGCAGAAAGAAGTGTCTGTGAAAGTACAGGGGCTGGCAAGCTGGGGGTCTGCGTCAGAAGCCGGGAGAGCTGCATTCGAAAGTTGTTGGCTATCGGAGGGAATGAGATTCCCTCTTTGGGGCAAGGAGCTAGAAATTCTGTGGAATGTTAAATACGCATCTCTTAAAAATAAGCAGAGCCAGGCGCCAGTGGCTCACGCCTGTAATACTAGCTACTTAGGAGGCTGAGATCTGAGGATCATGGTTTGAAGCCAGTCCAGGCAGGAAACTCTGAGAATCTTATCTCCAATAAACGACTCAAAAATAAAAGCCAGAAGTGGCACTGTGGCTCAAAAAAAGCTCAAGGACAGCGGCCAGGCCCGGAGTTCAAGCCCCAGGACCAGCGAAAAATAAAATAAAATAAGCAGAGAGTTCTCTCATGAAATGGAGCTGTCTAAGTTCTAAAAGCACCTGGGTAGCTAGATGAGAGAGGACCACTCACCCTGACGGTGTACAACGTGTGGGGCAGTAAGTCCTTGATTTCTGTAGAGTTACTGCCAGCCCTCTGGGAGGCCCACATCTTAGAACCAGTCCTGCTGTATTCCACCTGAAGTGAAAAGGAAACAAAATAAAAGGTAAACCAGAGTTCTGGGGTGTGGAATGTTCTAACAGAAGGTTCTTATCCACAAGGCCGTACTAAGTCCCAGTCAGCACCCTGACCCCCTGCCAACTTCCAGGAAAGTACTTACAATGTACTCACGGATGAAGCCGTGCGGGTGGACGGGAGGGGCCCAGTGGCAGACAATCACCCCCTCTGCTTCGCTGTGAACCGACAGCTGGAGGTTCCCAGGGGCATCCGGCACTAGGAAAGAGTCGACCTGGAAGTCAAGCCATCCTTGCCTACAGACCATAGGACGGTGCACACAGAGAAGCCTACACTCCAACACAAACCTGTTGACACCGATAACGGAACGTAGTGAAGTTGCAAGACTTAAGACCTATGTTCAAAGATCAGTAGCATTCCTAGACATTACTGAGAAGGTTAACCGAAATTGAGAAAGCAATCCTAGGGACAATTGTTACCAAAAAAAGAGAGAGAAAAGTGAAAGGTAGAGATGGAAACTACGCACATACAAATAAAAACAGCATAAAGCAAGGCAACACGGCGTGTACCTGCAGTGAAGGTACAAGAACGTTATCTGCCACGGTGAGAATGTATGTTCAAGTGAAATCCCAGAAGTCCTGTAACGTGTGCACATGTAAGGCACACGAAGTGTGTTGGCAAACTCCTGAGCATCCTTGGGAAAACCAAGGTCATGAAAGCAAAGTTTCGCACTCACGTCCTTCCGGCGTCCTGAGGGTCACAAAGTCGTTGGTGTTGTACGCCCTGCTGAGACACTGCACTTGGACCTTCACGTGGTAGGTGGTGTCTGGCTTCAGGACTTTCAGCACAGTGTTTGTCTTATTGCTGTGGGTCTCTAGAGTCTTCCAAATGCTCTCTCCAACCACCCTGGCCAAGGGAATGAAGGCACTGTCAGAGGGAACGTCGCAGCGTGGCCGTGGGGGAAGCTATGTCACCTGTGCCACGGGACAGCCAACGGGCTCTGCGATGGCAGCCGGGGCGCAGAAAAGATGGGACCCACCTGTAGTAAACATTATATACGCAAGACGCAGATGGCATTTTCTTGGGCCGTGTCCAGGTCAAAGTTACATCCCCAGAGAAGTCGGCTGTCCACTGAAGATTCTGTACTTTGTACACGGTTAACTCATCTAGGGAGATCAAGGACATCAGCAACAGGTTGGAAACACGGCACACCTAAAATGAGCATTTTGGTGGCTGGCAGGTGCTGGCTGGAAGCGGGGCCGTGCTTCACTTTGCTTGATGCTCCAAGATTGAGCTCAAACACATTTCATTCCCAGATGGAGGAAAAGCGCACAGGGGGCCTAACCAGAAGTCCTCACAACAAATGAGCCCCAGAAGCCCTGCCCCATCCAGCCCCATCAAGCCCCGCCCCACCCAGCCCCGCCCCGCCCCACCCCGGGAC